TTTAGGGCAGCAGAACAGGATTTGAGGAGCTCTGGCTCGTGAGGCACAATTCAGTGGAAAGTTCCTTTGGACAACCGCCCCATTCCAGCACCTTTGTGCAGTCCCCGTTCATAGAAAGGGGGCAGGAGAATTTCTCCCTGACATGTCCCATGAAGGCGAAGTAAAACATCCCCACAATCTTTATACAGTGGTAAAGGTAAATGGACCCCTGACCATTAGGTCCAGTCGTGACCGACTCTGGGGTTGCGGCACTCATCTCACTTTATTGGCCAAGGGAGCCGGCGTACAGCTTCCGGGTCATGTGGCCAGCAGGACTAAGCCACTTCTGGCGAACCAGAGCAGCGCACAGAAACACCGTTTACCTTCCCACCAGAGCGGTACCTATTTATCTACTTGCACTTTGACGTGCTTTCGAACTGCTAGGTTGGCAGGAGCAGGGACCAAGCAACGGGCGCTCACCCTGTCACGGGGATTCGAACCATCAACCTTCTGATTGGCAGGTCCTAGGCTCTGTGGTTTAACCCACAGCGCCACCTGCGTCCCTCGGGTTAAGTACTTAATTCGTTCTGGAGGTCCGTACTTAACCTGAAACTGTTCTTAACCTGAAGCACCACTTTAGCTAATGGGGCCTCCTGCTGCTGCCGCGCCAACAGAGCGCAATTTTTGTTCTCATCCTGAAGCAAAGTTCTTAACCTGAAGCACTACTTCTGGCTTAGCGGAGTCTGTAACCTGAAGCGTATGTAACCCGAAGTACCACTGTATATGGTGGGTTTTCATAGGATCATGGAATTTAAGAGGTGGAAGGGACTTGGTGCAAGAAGTCCCTGAGGCCGCAATCCTGAACATGCTTATTACAGATAACGTCTCATACAACTCAGAGGGACTCCTGGATAGACGTGTCCAGGATTGTGCCATCAGTAGCCTTAGACAAACAATTCTGTCTCTTCCTCGGCCTCAGTCCCTCATTTGCTGATGGACATTTTGCTGGGAAGAATGTGCCTTTGCAGTGACCAACAAAGTGAATACCACTGCGATCTTTGGAATGCTTGGATTTATTTCCATTCAAGAAAAAAGGTATTCTTAACAAAAGCTGGACAGTAAAAAGTTACCCTTCATGCTTTGTTTCTTATTCAGGGGCGGGGGGGGGCGGACCAATGATAGGCACAATGATACGTAACTTCTGCGCTGAGGCAGAAACTGGTAACTACTGAAACTGCTAGAGATGGCCCCCTGATGAGAAATCAGCAAGGAGAGTGGATGGCTGCAAGGCTCTTCTCCTCAAAGAATGCTTTTAATGTTGCTTCTTAATTTCTTTGAAATAATATCAAAGCAGCAGAGGCAGGCAATTCGTTCTCAGCAAACATTATTTGGCTGTTCTCTAAAAGCGATGATTTAGAAATTGCACTAGGTGGCTGCTGGGGTCAGACCGCTGCTGTGAGAAGTTAAAAAACAACAGCGCTGACCTCTGAGCCACAGAATAAAAAGTCGACTTGCTTCCAGAGATTGGCAGCATCTCTCGGGCCTGATTCTTTTTCCTGGCCCAAGTGTACACAGTACTGACACCTTCCCCCACCTCCAGCGTCCTACTCGTGTGTAGTCTGAATTCCTGACAACAAATGTGGCACTGTAACAATTTCATGGTGAGTACTGGCACCTCCCTCCCATTTTTTCTCCAAAAAATCACTGGGTAAAACTGCCTGGCAAGGGCAGCCCATCCCATTTCACCGCCTGAGGCAAAATGGTAAGGTGCCACCCCCAGCTCCACCCACCCACCTGCCAAAGCGTCACTTATCTCACCAGAGAAATGAGGGGAAGCAGCAAGCGGCAAGATCTCACACAAAGGCCCGCAAGATCTCATGAGATTTCATGGGACTCTCACGGGAGCTCACCTGAAGCCACTCCCGCCATGTCTCGATTCTTCAGCAGGTGAGGTGCCCTCAGGGATTCCGCTGCCCACAGGAATGTGCTTCAGTCTGCCTCACGGGAGGGCTGGCCCCGGACTCTGCAACTTCTCCATGACCTTCTAGCTTTTGATGCACCAAGATGTTCTTTTTCTTATTGAACGGGGAAGGTAACAGGTAGCTCCTCATATGCACGCCTACCGTCTGAAGTGGTACAGACCACAGAGCAAGACTGCCACCTCATCCAGGAAGTATTTTTTAAGGGAGAGGGGAGGGTTCAAGGCAGTCAAAACAGGATGTTACCTACTTTTAAGGCATATTTTAACATCAGCTGGTAAATGTAAAAGTTATACGCCTTTTCCCCCTGACATGGTATTGAAGGTAACCCAAGCAACATCTTACTTTCCTCGTGAATTATATATAGCTGTTAATGCAAAATCGGTTCATGCTGCAAACATGTTTTAATTACATATTTTATGTGCAATATATGTGCTTGCTGACAGTTTACAAAACACAAATTTACAAAACACATGGCGTTGTATATGTTTGCTCAGAAATAAGCCTCCCCGAGCTCAGCGCAATGAGGTGCAGAGACCTAGGAAAAGAGCTGTGCATTGCACTGATAGGTCTTGAAGAACAAAAAGGGGACATTTCGCCCTTCACTGTCTACCTGCTCTACAAATTTCTGAGATGCAGGAATTTAGCAGGTGATGCTTTTCTTGGGATGGGAAGTTTCAGTAGGCCTGCTCTGAGTAGGACGTAGTCAGATGCCATGCAAAGCAGTGGGAAAGCTTCTCTGAGAGATCCCCACCCGCCACCCAGACTGCTTGTTAAGGCCACAGGAGCAGGGCCACTGCAAAAGAGCTGGCAACTCAACCCACAGGGGCACCATAACCATTTATCCATCCACGTTTCCATCCCACTTGAGGAGGACAGGAATCAAAAGCAACTTTTGAGGGAAGTGACTGGCTGATTAGCTGAGCTGTGTGCCTGACAGGCTGTGGAGTGAGAGGGAGGAGAGGCTGGGAAGGCGGATTAGCCACCCCTCTCTCCCAGGAGGGGGTCTTGACAGCACTGTCAATAGAAGAAACCTGCCAGCTGACAGCTTGCAAGCGCGCTTGGAGAGTTTCTGCTATTTCTTCACCTCCCCCTTTTGCGGCTGTTGTTGTAGGTCTCAGAACCTGACCGGAATGTTAAGAAGTGCTTGT